GAGAGGGAGTGGGGAAAAAAAAAAAGGAAGGGAAGAAGAAAATAAAGAATCAGGATTAGATGACGGTATTTTTTCAGATTTGCTTAAATTCTCTTGACACACCTCACTCTTACTAGACTGATCTTGATGATTTTTTGTTTCTCCAAAGACATGTATGTGTATGTACTGTTGTATATTTTTTGAGGCTAGTTTGATTGGCTGGCTATATCTCAACATAATTTGTAATATTAGAACAAATTTATATTAAATCACTTTTTGATTTAATAATAGTTTATAAATTACTGAGTAAATGAAAAAGTCTTCATGTCCTAAATGAAGGACTCTTTTTCTTGTAATTCACATTGAACATTAATAGCTCATTTGGGACCTTAATCAGTTGTTGAATTTTAACCCCAAATTTTGTAAATCATATACACAAACTTGTGTCTATGTCCGATTGGTGGCCATATTTTCTTATATCCTCAAACATTTTCTCCTATTATGGTATACTCTTTAAAACTCTTGCTTAATTTCCTGCCAGTTTTCATCTAATAGACATTTGGCCTGATGCATTAACTGTTTTATGACATAAGAGTGGATCCAGATACAACAATTACTAGAAATTATAATTACACCTGAGCAAGACAAGGAGTTGGCTTTGCCCTAGGAAGAAGGTAGCATGGGGAGAATGGGAGACAGCTGGTGCTGAGAGCTCTGCTCTGCCTCTTTCTGGAGATGGCAGGGCTTGGGTGCGTGAGTGGGTGGCTTAGCTTCTGACAATGTTAGAGACTTACAGATCCCTTGATAAAGAAAAGTAAGAAAGTCTTTGTACATTCACTCTTGTCTTAGAGCTGGTTCCCTAGAGTAGATACTGAGATGAGGATTTTTGTTCACGTGATTGAGAAGATGTGCTAAGGAAAAGCCAGTGGGGAAGTGGAAAACAAGGTAGGGAAGGAGCGAACTCCCAGCAGGGTGGTGAGAGTTTGGCTTCAGCCTGAACTCACCGTGCTGGGAACAGTCATTGCGCTGCAGACTTTGTTCCACCTGGAGGGAAGAAAGCCAGGTGTGCCTGCTCCAGTACAAGTCCATCACTGGCCATAAGTCATGCCAGGGGCATGTCAGCCTTCAGAGAGCTGCGGCAGGGTAACATCAGTCAACCACGGGTCCTCCGAAGAGTGTTGCAAATATGAGCTTTTAGGAGCAAAGCCCAAACAGAAGCTGGAGATTGAGAGTCCAGAACCAGCAAAGGGACCCAGAGGAACTGGCTGAAGAATCTACAGCATTGGCTGTAGCTCTCCTGCCACTTACAAGACTCTGACATTTAAACTTCTGCTATTTTATTGACTTCTCTGCTAAAAGCAAAAGCAAGACCAATTATCCTTTCTCTCCTTGGTCCTCGGATAGCCAGTCCTTTACTAGCTTCTTTTTCCATCTTTGTTTAATAAATGTGTCTACTGTCACATACACTGTTTTCAAATAATTAGGCTCAGCACATTTTCTTAAGTGCCGAATAATTAATAAAGAATTATATACTCTAATTTTCATGTTAGTTCATGGTACTATGTATAGGTCAATACATTATTAATAATAAACAATTGTTGTATTCTAGATTATGAGCCCTGTGCTAAACAGATGGGCCACAAATTTTGCCATCTCTTTGAAAGGTTCTAACCCATTGGCCATCTCTTCTCTACCTATTAATTCTCCCTCCTAGATTTATCTAATCCAGCTAAAGCATAATTCAAAATGGAGATTATTCCCAAGACTCACAACCCGTGGTTGTCAGCAAATCTGACCTATGAAGGGGGACTCGGTTACCCGTGAAAAATGCTTATTCTCTCTATCAGTATTAATGGAGGTCATCGTGCCAGTGTGATTTACCCAGAGGTGGAGGTGTGATCTTTCAGAATCTATTACCCTGTTAAATGTAACACACTCTCTATGAGGCCGGAAATACGTACTTGGTTTGGGAAGTTCTCTCCAAAATGTCAGTGCCAAAACAGGACTAGAGTTACTGTTAAAATAAAACCCTAGAGGTACTGTTGTTTTAGGTATTAGCTGTCTGCTTGCTTTGCTTCCTTTCTGCTCTTCTTTTACCTTGTCTTTCATTCAACCATTATTTATTAGGCGCTTGTCATAGGCCTGGCATTTCCACAATCTGGAAGTGGAATTTCTACATGGAAGGAATCGTAAGTATGGCACTGTCATGCCAGCGACAAGCCTGATAAGCTCCAGAAAAAGCAGTTAGTGTGGCCAGAGAAAAAACATAGGAGAGAGTGGTCATGAGGTCTGAGAGGTCAGTAGACTTTTAAAGCCTCACAGGCTACGAAGGACAATGATTTTTGATAATTCATTTGAGGGGCTTTTTTTCTCTTTCTTTTTTTTTTTTTTTTTTTTTTTTGAGACAGGGTTTCACTCTGCCATCCAGGCTGCAGTGCAATGGCGCTATCTTAGCTCACTGCAACCTCCACCTCCCAGGTTTAAGCGATTCTCATGTGTGGGCCACCACACCAGGCTAATTTTTGTATTTTTAGTAGAGACGAGGTTTCACCATGTTGGCCAGGCTGGTCTCAAACTCGTGACCTCAAGTGATCCCCCTGCCTTGGCCTCCCAAAGTGCTGAGTCGTTAGAGTGTTTTAAGGTTGAGTGTGGCTTGATCTTGATTTTTAAAAACACAGCTGCCTACCTTGCTGTTGGTGATGAGATAAGTAGAAGCCGGGAGACAAGGGAGCAATGACAGCAGATGAGACTGCCCGGGGGATGAGGCCGGCATTTGAGAAGGGGCAGAATGCAGGACAGGTGTCAGGGAGAGTGGCAGAGGACTTGCTACTCTTTAATGGGAAGTCCTTGAGCAGGTTACCAAACTTTCCTTGGCCTCAGTCTTCCCTTCTGAAAGATGGGAATGATAGTCATATACCTACCACATTGTGCTCCTGTGAGAATTTAAGCAGTTTTACTCCACGTGAAGCTCTATGACAATTTTGAGAAAGTGGTCATCAATACACATTTGCTATTTTTAAATTGTTGACTGGATGTGGAAAGGGAGAAATCAAGGATGACACATAGAGAAATCAAGGACGGCACAACGTAGCTCCACGTCTGTGTGCTTAGGTCATGGCCTAAGAACTTTTCAGATGTGGACACTCTTGATCAAATGTTGCTGCTCTTGACACATGGTGACCACAAGCCAATAACTCCCTTAGCTCTGCCTTGCCTTGCCTTTTTATCCGTGCATGGGGCACGTGCTAACTGCTTCTCCAGTAAATGCCCAGTGGAGATTTGAAGTTCACTTGCATGTTATACCTAACAGACTTGGTCATTTTCAGCACAGAAGTAATTCATTTTTCACAACCGAACAAGGTAAAAATGACTGTGTTCCGTAGTAAGCAGGTCCATGCAAACCTAACCCCGTAGGCTGAGGAAGCTGAGAGGCTGAAAAAAGAGGTGAGGAAAGAGGCTGACAAGTCCAGTTGCTCAGAAGGAAACATTTCCTAGGGACTTACACACAGAAGCCATGTCTCAGGCAGCTGCAAGCTGGTGGATCCTTGCACCTGGCCTCCAGAAAGCAACCTTGATACAGCAAGCTTTTAGGGTACAGACACGTGCAGCGGGTCACATCTCAAACTTTCCTGCCAAAACTAGTGAGCTCTGGGGAGATGAGATAAACATCTTTATGAAAGGTTGTCTGTGCCATGGGCATTGTTTCTTCATGAGCGGTTATCTACCTGTGGGACACCTCGGTGTGCAGGAGTCAAACGTTGGTCGTCATTGAGGTTTCACATCAAGCTGGTGTCACTCTTGCCAAGCAACAGGCTCCTTTCCTGCAGGCTGACTTGTGAAAAGAAGGGATGCGATTTTTCAATCTATGGTTTTTATGTTCAGTGACTGTAAAATCCAAATGTCTTGGTGTTTGTGTTTGTATCTAATATAATGCAAAGCAAGAACCAAAGGGAGGAACATGGTTGCTATTGGAGCATCGTCTGATAAGACCAGCTGAAAGAGGAATTAGAATTGGAGCAGATAGTACAGTGTCTGGTAGAGGATACGGAGGCCTTCTTTACTGTGCACACAAAAAGAATAGCTTGTATGTCTTTAAGAAAGAAAAGCCTGATGAATGCAGAAACCCATTCCATTAACCCAAATGGGGTATCTGGGGACTCCAGCCTATGCTTGGGATCTGGAACCTGGGTTTGAGTCCTGGCTCAGTTTATTCCAAATTATAAGCACATGACTATGGGTAAGTCACCAACTTCTTTAAATGCTGAGAAGCTCTTTTGTCAACCGTGTTGAACTAGTATTCCACCTTATAATGTTGATAAAAGAATTGACAAAGACAATATATATAAATAAATCTACTCGTTATATTTTTAATATTTTGCATGTGTTATGACTATTAAGACTAATCCATTGAGAAATCAGGACCCATTTGGACCCTTGTCATTATATTTTCATTTAAATGACACTTTATCCTCGAGGTGAGTGTTGCTCACAGAAGAATCTGGGAGTTTCTGTTTTCTGACTCAGACAGTAGAGTGTAAGTCACTTGAGGATTCCACAAAACAGCAGTATTTGCCTTAGCATTAGCCATTAGCCTTCAACTGGGTTGCCTCCTCTAAGTGGCCCTTTTGCAGAAGGATTGCACCAATATTTAGACGTTTTCCCTAAAGTACTTTGTTATGCATGTGAGCTTGGGTGATTTAAATTAGAATGAACTCCTTCATCTCCTATCCTGGTTGCTGCCATTCCTCTTTTTTTGGCCAGGGTGTGGATGTTGGTAGAGGGGACTAGAGGGTTCTTAGCCAGCATGAGACATGGACCTTGAGATCCTTCTGAAATGCACCCAGCCCTTCTTGCTTTTTTCATGTCAAGATAACTTTTGAGCCCCTTATCATGCCATTTAAGCGAGGATGCCGTATTCCTAAATGGGTGTGGAAGAACCCACACATTGGAAGCAATAAGAAAGCCTGCTGCAAAATCATCCTCATGTGTGACTTTCTTCTCTCCCCTTCCTTTGCCCCTAGGGAAGTGTGAAATCGGCTGGGCCTACTACTGCACTGGAGCAGGTGCCACTGCCGCCATGCTGCTGTGCACATGGCTGGCTTGCTTCTCAGGCAAGAAGCAGAAGCAGTACCCATACTGAGATGGAACCGCCAAGAGCAGACAGAGGAGAAGACGGGCCAAAGGGGCTTGGAGAGGTCAAACATTCAGCTACCTTCAAAAGGCTGGATAGGAACTCTGATCCAACACAATGCTAGTAACACGAAACCCGATAAAATCAGGAACATGATATAGGAGGGAAGGGGTATAGGAGATTAGTGAAAAAACAAAGTGTAGAATGATGGAGACAAATGGACCAAAGGCTAAAAATACTGCAGGGCATCGGGTGTTTCCATTCCACACGGTATTATTAATGTAACACACACACACACACACACACATACACACAGCAAATCTATATATGCAAACAAGGGTTTTGTTTTTGTTTTTGTTTTTTTAAGGTGAGGACTCAAAATCAAAAGGGCTCAAAGAAACAGTGTTATGTTGGGAAGCAGGGTACCCCCAAAGATGTCCCCTGTAGGTCACGGCACTCCTGAAAGCACACAAGCACATTATAGACGTATGCATCCCCACACACGCCCGTGCACAAACAATGTGGCTTGTCGCACAGACTGTACGGGAGGCATAGTGGTGCATTACTCCTCTGTTTTCTTTTTAATATGCATTTAAAATACAGTATTATCACTTTATAAAGCATACATTAAACCTAATAAGTGGACCGATAAGCCAAACTATCAGTATTTTGTATATCCTGCATAAACTCTAATTTAGTTCCTCAACCTGTTTTCAGTGTTTATGCGGAAATTTAGAGTTAAGCTTTTGTATTTCAATGTTATTCAACTATCTGCAGTATTTCTCTGAGTAGCTTCTGCTATGATATTCTTATGAAGTAAAGGGGCAACTTTCTGTCCACAGTAGGAGAGAATTCAGCCGAAGATATGAGAGTGATGAGAGACATTTTTCAGTCATTGGATCATGTTTTCTTTTGTCCATTATTGTACTGTGCTGTACCACATTTATTTCTATATTCATTTTGTAAAAAATTTTAAAGTGCTATTTTGTTTGTATTTGGAAATCTCTGTGAATAAATTCTCTCTTTGATCAATAGTGAGATGAGTCATGGAGTGTTAATTCAGTTATTGGATTTGCTTCTTTAATTCCTTAAATGTAGCTCCTCAACTACTATAGTCCTGTAAAATGTCCTTTTCTCTTTTAAGATCTCTCATTAATTCATTCACTAATCATCCAACCAGGCACTGTCCTACGAGCCAGTGTATTAAAGATGAGTAAGACAGTTTCTGCTTTCAGCACGAATTCTTTGCAACCAGAATTCTAACTTCCTGCTCATTCCATTTCAATCATGGCCAAATTCCTAGGAGACAAGAACTTCGGGTCTGTCTTGTATTAAGTTTGAGAATATAGGTGGTATTTAGATATTATTTAGGGCAACAAGAGCCAGATTGTGGTTCAGGAGGTGACTGGACCCACAGTCTCCAGCATGAAGACACAATTGTCACAGCTGCAAGTGACTTAATATTCCTCCAGCTTCTACAAAGTGCTGGGTTTCTTCTGTACTTCTGCGCCAGGGGCAATTTCATATCACTATCTTTCAGGGATGTTGGCCATTTGAAAAAGTTTATCTCATAGCCCTGCCCCTCAAGCAGAAAGCCTTCACTAAAGAGAAAGATTTGGACCCTCACATGGCCCCCTAACAGAACTAGCTCTGTCAGGGCCAGACGCAATGGCCCATCCATGCCTGTAATCCCAGCCAAGGTGGGGATGTCACATGAGGCCAGGAGTTTGAGAGCAGCCTGGCCAACATGGCGAAACTCCATCATTACTAAAAATACAAAAAAAAAAAAAACCAGCTGGGTATAGTGGTAAACTCCTGTAATCCCAGCTACCCAAGGCGCCAAAGTACAAGAATAGCTTGAACCCAGGAGGTGGAGGTTGCAGTAAGCCGAGATTGCGGCACTGCACTCCAGCCTATGCAACAGAGCAAGACCCTGTCCCCACCAATAATATAAATAAAAAATAACAAATTACAAAAACTAGCTCCTTCAGGAGCAAAGATTACATAGTGGATCTAGCCTTTTGTTTAGTAAGCCTGAGTTATTGTAGCAAATCCTTAAGAATTCAGTTTCAATTAGCTTCTAAATTCATTGTACTTTTGAGATTTGGAAATTGAACATTCTGGCTATTTATACATGTAACTATATTTTCTATGCTCTCTATCCATATCTATCAATTTAATTTGAATATCTGAGTATTTCACTCGCTTCTGGTACTTTTAATCATTGCAGGATGAGAATCCATGCTGCTCTGGACAAACAATACAGGATCTGACCAATAACATTCTAGACTTTCTGAGGCTTTGTTGGTGTGGAGAAAGTCATTCCGCTCTCGAATGCTTAATTCAAAATGTGCTGAATGTGATTTGATTGTGTCTCATTGTCTGCTGAGCAGGGACTTCTCCATTCTGTGGCTTCCTGCAGAGGAGAAAAGATTGCACTTTGCTTCCTCAATTAGCTCATGATTTTCATGTGTAGCTGGTGCTTTTCAAATTTCTTTTAGCTGCACCTTCCTGTCAGAGTAGTGTGGTGACTTCTTGGCTCCCATTATCAGGTTGGAGCTCTCTAGGGAAATCATTAAGGTCTAATTCCTTGGACAGATTTAATGATGACATTGTCATTTTTATGTAGTTCATGTGATTTTTGACATTAGTGAGCCTCACTGAAATAAAAGGTCAGCCACTCTACATGGTAAAGTCAAATGAAAAATTCTTATAGGGCAAATTCCGGCTAGTCATATAATTTTTTTTTCCCCAAGATGTCCCAGCGTTTCATTAGCAACATCTAAGTTATTAAGAATTCCATATACTGCTTTCCAAATGAAAATCAGGATTCATCAGGTAATAACAAAGTCAGAGAAAAGCATATATTCACAGGATTCTTACAGATACACACTTGAGAGGCAATAAAAAATCTCAATTTTCACAAACTTAAAAGCTGTCATTGCTTTCACATGCCTCTGCAGTAAGTGAGGAGTTTATCTTGTTTTCAGGAAGAGAAAATGACATGCAAAGCAGTGAACTCATGAAATTTAATTGACTCTCATCATTGAACACCTGCTACTTGGTAGGTCTTCTACTAGACATAAAACACTAAATAAAACCCAGCCCATGCTCTCAAGTCAGTCATAAGCTTATGGAGAAAAATGACAGGAGAATCAGTGATTACCATATTATATGTCAACTGATTTTCCAAGACAAGGAAGAAGTTCCTCCCATGTAAAGAATTCTGCACAGACGAATTAAAAAAGTATGAAGAAAGATGGTCTATTACAATGTTCTGCTCTTCAAAAATCATCAAGAAAATGAAAAAATGTGTCAAAGACTGGAAAAAGTTATATATCTGATAAACAAGCTGTATTCTGAGTGTTAAAGCTCATGCTCTGAATGAAAAGACCCCTCTAAACAGGCTTTGTGTGAGCAACAAGGCTGTTTATTCACCTGGGTGTGAGCGGGCTGAGTCCGAAAAGAGAGTCAGTAGAGGGTGGAGTGATAGGAGTTGGTTTTTTAGGTTTGGGATAAACAATGGAAAGTTACAGAAGTTACAGTTTAGGGCAGTTTTTTTGCAATCTGGGAGGGGGTCATAGGGTGTGGAGTCAGGAGGTTGAACAAGTTCAGTTACAAAGTCCAATGGCTTGTCAGTTGAGGCCAGAATAAGAGACAATAGAAGAATGTCTCAGGTTAGTTAAGTGCCACAAAGGTTGATCGTCCGTTCAGTTTTCATGATTTTCCAGCTACTTCAGGTTTTCTAATTCCAGAAGGCCCTTCAAAAGTACACATTCGGGTCACGGGGTGGCCGTGCTGTCCGTGGTGCAGTCAGACCTTACATTGAGTACATACATGATTCTCTCAAATGAATAATGAAAAGGACAACCCAATTTTTAAAGGGTAAAAACTTGAATGGGGCATTTCCCAAAAGACGATACACCAGTGACCGATTACATTGAAAAGGTGTTCAACATCATTAGTTGAGAAGAAAATGAAACTTCAAGAACCACAATGAAATGTGGTTAGCAAACTCACAGATCTATCAAACCCAGTCTGTCCAAAACGGAATTTGTCATCTTCCTCCCAAACCAGCCCTGCCACCAGCATTCCTTGTGTCTGTATACTACATCACCATGTACCGGGTTGCACATGCCAGAAAACCAACATTCTCCCGTCTGCCCTTTCCCTCAACCACCTCAAATCCACCCCTTCAGTAGATCCACTTTCCCCCATCTCCACCACTGCTATTTTAATCCTGTTATTGTCAATTAACCTGAGCCAGCTTGGCCAATAAATTCCGTTTTCAGGATTGTGTTGACACTATCACTAGCTTAAGACATATGGAGATTGATGAGAACTCTGGTATCTTCCTCCACAAGCTTGCCACCAGATGGGATGCTACAATGAAAGCAAAACCCGACCAGATGCTGCCACATAGCTTGCAAGTAAGCACAGAAACTGTCATATACTGTGTTCCATTTATTTGTACCTTAGGCACTTTGCAAAGTACTCAGCATGAGAAGTTCTACTGAGCAGCTGCAACAGTCTAGCAGCAGGATGCAGCTCACCTTCTTATGGATCAGAATTCTCTGTGAAGTGGTGGGGCATGGAACCAAGCATCCCTAGAACTAGGGTACCACTCCTAAATTAAGAGGCCGCTGGGCTTGCCAGATTCTCAGAACACTGTGCAAAGGTAGTGGCTGTATAATTAACCCGCATCAATTCATTTATTTTAAATGCTACTCATTGCACTAATTAAAATTCTATCTAGCATTCCTTACACCAATTAACAAACGCTCTAGTGAAGATGTAACAGTGATATTTGAAGTCATTTGTTGTAACTGTCTTGTCTGATGAGGACATATTAAATGTTAAGTAATCTCCAGCGTAGAGATTTAAAAGAATAGACATATATTTGTATGTAATTACCTATATAATATTATATGTTATTGTACTCAAGAGGTATATTTCTGAGTACACATACCCACATATGTATTCATATATATATATATACAGTTAAAGTTGCAATTAATTACCGATACTGAAATTATACATATGTGGGTATGTGTAGACTATTATAAACATATATGCTTATAACGTAAACATATATAAATATAAACATATTTTATAATATAAAAATATATATGTTTATAATATATACATATATACATGCTATTTACACACGTGGGTATGTATAGAATATACATATATGTGTATATACACATGTGGGTATGTGTAGACAGACGCATATATGTACATTTATATATCACATTTTAAAAGTACATTATGGACAATATATTCCTTATCTGCAGCCTCCTAATTCATCATCCTGCATCCTGGCTTTCTCTCCTCTAAACCCATGTTTCACAGTAGTGAAAGAATCAATTTTTAAAAATCATAAATCTCATTGCTCTGCCTCAGTGATTCTCAATTCTCTTTTTCTGACTGTTCTGTATGTATCTTACCCTGTCTCTTGACACTCTATTCTTTATCTATTGGACCTGATTACATCATTGTCCCCCTTTTTGTTCCTTCACCTTGCCAAGACATTTTGAGTCTTATAGCATTTGCACTGCTGTCCTCCCTTGCATAGAACCTCATTCTTCACCTCTCTTGGCCTATGCAATCCTCTGCATAAGTGAGGTCACAGCTTAAGCCCATTCTTCAAGGATACATTGCTGACTCCTCCCTGGTTCAGAGGAAGTGAGCTTCCTGCTAGACCCACATATGACAAAGTTGCAATTAATTAATTACTGAATTGTCTGCTTTCTCACTTGAGTGTTGCCATTACAGGGACACGTTTCATGTCTCTCTTACTCAGCACTGCCTGTGTCTGTGTGTTTAATAAATATTTACTGCATGACTGAGTGAAAGTAATGGCTATATTGTATCTGATGAATTTCAGCCACGTGCTTACGTTGTGTGTCCTGCTGGAACATGGGTTTGTTGGTAGTTACGTCTGGAAATATCAATTGGTGTTGGTGTTGACTTTTTAATTCTATTCTCTGGAAAATGATATGACACGTTAATTCCTCAAACTGGATATACA